ATAGTTGTATGTCATAGCTGCACATCCTTCTAGTTGATGTATGTGGGACGCGGCCTCAGCATGGCTGGAGAAGCGGTGCGTCGGTGCACGCCGGGGATCCGAACCCGGGCCGCCAGCAGCAGAGCGCGCGCACTCAACCGCTAAACCACGGGGCCGGCCCTGATTTGATTGAATTTATTGTTGGTTGACTTAATTGACCAAATTGATTATTGTGTTTCTGTCACATTAGCTCCAACAACTTGGGAGCAGGCACTATTGTATCTTTTTCTTTCTTTAAAAGGTTCAATACAATCAAAGTATTTTGACTTAATGTGTCATTTCCATAAAGCTATAATTTTATTAACTTAAACCTTTTAGTGAAATACTAGTATAGTGTTTCATCTAAGAGCTTCTTTAAATGTCTACAAAAACAGTTAATAAAAACCCAGCAAGGAACATTTCTTATGTTGAAAATGTAAATTTAGGTGTCTAGACACAAAACCTTAAGTCTTAAAACCAACGTAGTATTGACAAAGCTTGCTGTGTGCATGTATCCAAGTTAGGTCGTGTCCTTCTCATGATTTCTCAGTTTAATACAGGCCTTTGGGAAGCATTATTTTCTGTCCATCATGCACTTGTCTCTTCATATGTCCATGTGTTTCAACCAACAAAATGGAAAATTAGTTTCAGTTAATAAGAATCTAATATTATATTTAACTGTAGGGAAATATATTTAATATAACTAGGTAGGAAATAAAACGTATGTCAAAGTTTCAACTTCTGTTCTTACGTAACACCTGAAGAGAGACAGCATACTGTAGTCTCAAGGCTCAGAAATTAGGTTCTGTTACTAATTTTGGCATTCATTAGCTTTGAAACCTTAAAATCATTTCACTGATCTTTGCCTCAGTTTCCTAAAATGAGGTAGTGAGACTGAGTCCATGTTTTAACCTAAACAGAATTCTGATTAATTTCTACTCTTCACAAATTTTTATTCTTAATTTATAGCCAATCATCCTAAAACTCATTTTAAAACTACTTAGAAATCAAAGTTCATAAATCACTTTTTTCCCCTGGATATGTAATTCATGTTAGACTAAATCTTGTTTCAACTCTGATAACAGAATCTATTTTTAAAAAGTCTCATTTAGCCAGAACATCAGATGTTTCATCTATATTTCATTAATCACACATGTAAAGATAATCTATCTCATATCAATAACAGCAGACCACAACTTTTAAAAAAACTCAATACCCCCCTCTTGCATACCCAAATTGCAGAACATGAACATTTCCAATGCAAGAGTGCACTTTTATTTATTTTTTTAAAGATTTTATTTATTTATTTTTTTCTCCCCAAAGCCCCAGTAGATAGCTGTATGTCATAGCTGCACATCCCTCCAGTTGCTGTATGTGGGACACGGCCCCAACATGGCCGGAGAAGTGGTGCGTCGGTGCGCGCCCGGGATCCGAACCTGGGCTGCCAGCAGTGGAGCGCGCGCACTCAACCGCTAAGCCACAGGGCTGGCCCCAAGAGTGCACTTTTAAATAGTAATTTGGGTCATAACATTATTCCTATTGCAGCTTGATTACAGTGAATCTAACTGCAGCTCAACATTTTCCCCATTTATACTCTTCACTCTTTTTGAGGCTTGCTTAGTCTTCAGTTTAATATGCTTTTTTAGTTTTAATGCTTGGTGCTTTCTTGGTAATTTGTAGAATGTATATTTTGGAGAACTTTCAAGTTTTGCTCTAAACTTCATCTGTTTCAGGAGAACACAGAATGGGGGTTGAACATCTCAGCAATGCCCTTTTAGTGTGTGGGCAACCACAGGAACTTCTGAAGGTTTTCAAACACACACTCCCTCCCAAGGTATTTGAGATGCTGTTGCACAAAATCCCCCTTATTTGCCAGGTGAGCACATATTTAATTATCTTTGTGAAATGAACACAGTAAATAACCATGGTGGACTTGTTTACATAGAAATAGCAAAGTATGCGTGTGAAGGGCCCAAAGTTTTAAAATTTTGAGTAAAATCTCTGAATTTTTGGTTGCTTTTCTTGCCTTAAGATGAAACAAGCCTCTTCTTTCATGTTCTTTTGACTGTAAAGAATTGTATATTTTATTGAGTATTGTACATTTCAACTTTAAAGATAGCACTGTTAATATTTTGTCTTTGTACTTTCAAAGACATCACAATTATTGACTGCAGTGTCAACAGAGGCCTGTAAGTAGTATTGTTAGTTAAATGACCTAATGGCTTAAAAATTAGATGTTATATAGAAAACCATAAATTATCAAAGCAGAACAATACTTCTACTTTCCAATAATATGACAAAACATAGAAATTACTTTGGTAAATTTAAACATATAGGCTAATGAGTGTTCTATTTAGTTACAAGTTTAGACTGGTATCAAATGAAATCCATTCATAAGCCAGTTTATTAATAGGTATTAGTCCACTTACATTTACCAAGCTTATACATCAACTAGAATTTCCTGCAAATGCATGGATTTAAGATTCATTTAGCCATAAGACGCTACTTTAATTTTGTTCACTTTTTATTACACTGATCACATTTCCTGGCTGAGAATACACTGTATATCGTTGATCTGACTCTGAATCATTCATATTGGACTTGCAGCTTTTGAACAAAACACAGAACAACACAGTGCCACTGGAGTGTAATTGTCAACTCTTAAACATTCCCAAGCTAGTCTCAGATAGGATGTTTCCTGAAAATATGTGAAAACGTAGCTAGGATAAGATTGTGTGATGCCCACCCTGACACAGGAAGGGAAGCAGAAGGATCGTGCATTGAAATGATTAGCAAGTAACTATTTTATGTATTTACCAGCAATTTGAGGCAGACATGAATGAACAGGAATACTTGGAGGATGATCCTGATTGAAAAACATTTCAACGTATCCACGGTCCAGAGGGAATACTATGGTACTATATAGTATAAACAACTGCTCAGTGATAATTCCAATTATTTTACTTTAGTAATAAAATTTTTTCTATCTCATACATGATTGGACACACATTTTGCTTTAAAATTAACAGTCACAATTGAAGAAACAATGGTTTATTTTTCTAATCAAGGGACCAAGCTGCTAAATCTTAAGGCATCAACAAATGTTGCATCTTATTATTTTCAATGAACAATAAGACCTTCTATTTTTGATTATTCCTGGTAAATAGCAATTTTGTTTCTCCAGTGGTTTCCATTTGCCAAACAGTCATGATAGATGGTTTCACATTGTGGCTACTGCTTTTAGGGGATTCTGTCAGATGAATCCTCATTTCCAGTGCAGCAGCTGTTGGCCATCTTTCTTCAGAAGTCCGTCCATCAGGACTGCTCTATCGTGGTTGGCCAAGAAGTCCTGCTTTGGCTGCCAGGGCTTCATTCTGCTGAATATGATATTCTTGAAATCTCATGGATATCCTTTGTGTCATTTTTAAATATTTCTGCAAGCAATGTTCTGAACAGGTGGTCTAGAAATTAAAAAGAGAAGATCCAAGAGGCAACACAAAAATATTAATTTTAAAAAATGCACGTATTCTCAAAGAACCACCAGTGGGTGCTTTTCTTTTCTTTGAATATATCTGAGAATTAAATGGTATTAATGAGTAGCAAGTGACCATAGCTTTCAACTGTTAATACTTTAATCTATTTACAAAAACTAATATATACAGAATGCCTACCAGTTTGTAGGCACTGAGAACAATGGCAATTAAGTCCCTGCCTTCTGGACTAGATTTTCTGCACGTATGTTTCGATATTAACTGCAAAGCCTATATGCCTATCCCTTATTCTGACTGTTAAAATGTAGGCCCCAGTAGCAAGTTTGTCCTTTTTAATGAGAAACTTCATTCTCAACATTCTTAACTTTCAAACTTTTACTTTTTAACAAGAAGAATATTACATTTAGCATCTCAACTCCGTCATTTATTTAACAAGTACTTCTTAATTGCTGGTTATATGTTAAGTTCTTGGCATGAATGTTTATCAGCATCTTCCACTAGAGGAAGTTTATGTCACTTTTAGCCAATATATCAGTGTTTTGATGAGGATATTAAAAGTTATGACTTCTAACAGGATTGGGTTTTCAGAGTCCACCTATGCAATATAAGCCACCAAATTCAAGCTCTGCTTTTTCTAAAATTAACCTGAATTCTTAGGGTCAGATAGAAAAGCCATGTCAAGTTTCTCTCGCCAGGCCATCTTGACTGAAATCTCATTACTAAGAATCTTTGCTATGGAACAGTAATTCAGCAAGCCCCAGGCACCTTCTCTGAAAAAAGTCTGCCGTTGTACAATGTGACTGTTATGTTAAATCTGGCATCGTTAAACTCAGTGCCATGGGTCCTTGGCTGCTTCAATTCCTCTGAGCAATGGAACATAAAATGTAGCCCAAATTCCTGTAATAACTAAGAACAAGTGAAAAGCTTAGAGGGATCCCATTTATATTGTTTATGACAAGCTTAGAGAACTTTTAGTGGGCAACACTTTTCATACCTCTTCAGGTTTTACTTCTCTTGTTGTGAAGTCTTTAACACAGTCCAAAAAGCAGGTTTCTGTAAGTTTATTGTAGGTTCCAAGAAATTCCTTAAACTACAAACAAATCAGAAGGTTCTTTAATATTTGGTTTTTAAAACACTTTAATTACTGATGTTTGAATTTAGGCGAAATATCCTGTAATGCTTGAAATCAAAGTTTCTTTCATTAACTTAAATGGGTATAATATGATCGAAAAAATATAGTCAACTTTTCTAATTGACTATTTATTCTTTCCTGGATATTCTGTCAAATTATCTGAAAAATAAGTATGCTTCATGTCATTTAACATCCATGTTTGGAAATGAAATATAAAGTTATTTTTTGAGATCATTGACTGACATGGTTGCATCCAGTAGTGACTTAAATTTTTTGCAAAATCTTTTTTCCCTAATTATAATACCTTACCTGTTTTATCTGATCAGATTCTGGTATTTGTGCAGCCATATTCTTTTGGTATGTTTATTAGTCACCTGATTTAAAAAAAAAAAAAGTTTGTCAATCTATTAACAAATGTTTTTATGCTAGCTGAATAGTTAGGTAATAAAAACAAGAATAGTTTATTAAATAGAATGGAAACAAGTCTACCTGAAATTATTGTTCATATTTTATAAATTTCTGAGTATGTAATTATATGTCCCCCCACCCCCACCATTTCCCAGGTCATTAATGACAACAAAGAACCTGACAGTTTAGAATTAGATTTTTTAATGCTTAGCTATGAGACCCAAAGGCCCTGTCTATCTAAATCTCAGTTTTAAGATGGTTTGCTCTCGGGCCGGCCCTGTGGCTTGGTGGTTAAGTGTGTGCGCTGCAATGCTGGTGGCCCGGGTTCGGATCCCGGGTGTGCATTGAGGCACCACTTCTCCGTCCATCCTGAGGCCGAGTCCCACATACAGCAACTAGAAGGATGTGCAGCTATGACATACAACTATCTACTGGGGCTTTGGGGGGAAAAAATAAAAATAAATAAAATCTTTAAGATGGTTTGCTCTGTTACTTTGCAAAGCCACTTGTTAAATAAAGCCCACTCCTAGTAGCATTTTAAGGGAAAGCAAGGAATCTCTGGTGTCTTCCCATAAGTACTTAACTATTCCACTGGTTGCTAATATAACTTTGACCTGTACTACTAATGATCCTTTTACTATCTCTACATAAATGCAAAGGTTCTATTAATTAACAAACACTATCCACCTATAAATCAACAACCCTAATGAAAGATATTCAGAGTTCTAAATGACTCTAAAAGGAAGTTACTGGAGTTGTACATTCTACAATTCAAAAAGGGAAATCAGAGACTCATCAGAAACTTCGGAACACAGGACACTTGTGATCTAACTTGCGGGCAACAGAAAAATGAAGATAAGGAGGTCAAAAAGCCTCTCTGAATTACTGGGATATTCACGTATCCTAAATGGAAGACCTAGGCTCACTTAATCCGGATATAAGAATATCACATTATTTACATATTCTATCCTGGTTATCCATTCTAAAATGGATGAACGTCTCATATAAAAGATTTGTATAAAATATAGCTGTTTAAAATAGAAATTAAACAGCATGTAAGAGGAAGAATGCCAGCCCTGGTGGTCTAGTAGTTGAGACTCGGCAGGCAGTCTTACTGCCACAGCCGGGTTCGTTTCCTAGACAGGGAACCACACCACTCGTCTGTCGGTTGCCGTACTGTGCGGGCTGCGTGCTGCTGTGATGCTGAAAGCTATGCCACCAGTATTTCAAATACCAACAGGGTTACCAAGGGTGGACAGGTTTCAGTGGAGCTTCCAGACTAAGACAGACTAGGAAGAAGGACCTGGCCACCCACTTCCAAAAAAATCGGCCATGAACACCCTATGAATTGCAATGGGGCGTTGTCTGATATAGTGCTGGAAGGTGAGAGGATGGTGCAAAAGCATCAAGAAGGGTTCTGCTCTGCTGTACACGGGGTTGCTAGGAGTCAAGAGTCGACTTGACAGCAGTAACAACAACAAAAAGGAAGAATAAGTAAATACTAATTATATACACTGTAGATTATAACAGAATTTCTATGCATTACATTTAGCTTTGAGTTTCCTGATAAATGCAAAAAGATAAACTGGATGTGTATATAATTCTTATTAGCTCATCAATTACTATTTAAAGTGGCTCTGAAAAAGCATGAAATTTTCATGAAGCTTATATGGAGATAAAACTGAGCAGGAAATTCAAGCTTAGGGCAAAGTGTATGCTACCATCATGAAAAAAATTAATTCTCATTTTGATTAACAAATACAATCCATGGTAATTCCATTCCAGTATTCCCAACCATAAACAGTCAGGTGTCACCTAACGATGGTGATATGTTCTAAGAAATGCATTGTTAGGTGATTTTGTCCTTGTTTGAGCAGCATCGAGTGTACTTACATAAACCTAGATGAGATAGCCAACCACACACCTGGGCTATATGGTAATAATCTTATGGGACCACTGTCAAATATGCAGTCTGTCACTGACTGAAACGTAGTTATGCGGTCATGACTGTATATACCTTCCCCTCTTTTGCATTTATTTTTCCCTCCTCTTTTTTCCTTATCCTGTATGTTTGTATTACTGATATTTTTAAAAAGTCATTTTTTCCATATGTAAGGGAAAGCATCAATTCTTTTCTATTTGCTATGATAGTCTCATTCCAGATGTTATAGCTCATAGTTTTCTTTGAAGTAATGATTAATAAAAAGTGTAATTGTCTATAGTTCAGAGAATCTTTGGTTTAGTAGTAACAGGATATAAACTATCTTTTCTACTAAATCTCCTCTGTATCTGCTACAAACAATGCAGTAGAGGTTTTACGTTAGCCCAACATTTAGACAACTAGTGTTCCATAAACACCTAAAAAGTTAAGGTGAATGCTCTTTATTCTTATTTCACAGCTTTATAAACAATATATTTTTTACCACATAAACTACCTGATAAATACCAAGAATTAACTGAAGGTCACAATTTTTCAGGTACTGCTGTGACTATCATCATTCATGTTCCAGGTAAGGTAATATCCATTATAGTTCCTCTTAGCTCATTTAAATCATGAAATACTGACTCCATACCCTCCAACTATTGAACTGCACAGAAATCCAAACCTAATTATTGCATCATCTTCTAATATCGACTTCAAACTTATTTATAGTTTTGGATCTTAGCAGTTACTATTCTAATTAGTTGATAGATATTCATTCAATAAACATTTATTGAACAGACCAAGGACTGTGCTAGTTATGAAACCAGCCATGCTTCTGAGGTAAGATGCATCTTTATGGCTGCCGTAAAATACCACTAACCAGTCAAAGAAACAGAGGATCCTGTGAGTATACCACACA